GAAAGTGGTCAGTATCTGGACTACCCTCGGTCCTTTATGTGGAGAAACACATTTTTTCCGGAAAATACTATAGTATCCCGCTATTTAAAACAGCTGCATACCGTTTACGGCCTCTGTCCAGTTGCTCCAAGTTAAGAAGCCCACAATGCATTGCTGACTACAGTACTGAACTGTTAAACATGAAAACAATATTTTAGTGTTTAAAAATGGCTGTAAATTTACAGCAATTGCTTACAGTGCAGTTCATGATGAGGTGTTTTTTTATCGTGGGAAAGTTTCTGAACTGGAGGGAAGTGAGCTCCTCAACTTCCCCGTTAAGCAACCCCTGTTCGTGGTTATGAGGAGGATCCTCAGATATTTGCTGACAGCTCCTGTCCACAAACGTGTCACCCCCCCCCCCTTTCTCCAGTAAAAAGGACATTACTGCTGAGTGTGTGTGTTTAAAACCGTAAAACATCTAGAAATCAGACGCCGCTACGCTAGCACCAAGTAAACAAAATATGTAATCGCTTATATTTAGTATATTTCACTTATTTTGAGTCTGTAAAAGGTTTACATTTAAGTCATTTAGTCTTAAAACCAGCATTTTATGCTTATATTTTGTATATTTCACTTAATTTGGGGCTGTATAAAGTACAATTATACGTAATCTGGTCTTAAAACCAGCATTTTATGCTTATATTTAGTATATTTCACTTATTTTGAGTCTGTAAAAAGTTTACATTTAGTAATTTAGTCTTAAAAACAGCATTTTATGCTTATATTTAGTATATTTCACTTCATTTTGAGGTTGTAAAAAGTACAATTATAAGTAATCTGATCTTAAAACCAGCATTTTATGCTTATATTTCGTATATTTCACTTCATTTGGGGCTGTATAAAGTACAATTATAAGTAATCTGATCTTAAAACCAGCATTTTCAGCTCATGTTAAGCCTTCCAAATACCTCTGTAGACGTGCTTATTTCTAGATTTAATTATCTTAATTCAAGAAATCTTGTCAAGTGAAATGATCTTGCTGCAAGGACAGATAATTTCACTTTTTTTTGGTACATTTTACCTCAAATCTAGTGTTTTTTTCTTGTTTTCAGACACCCCGTTTCCACGCTAATATTCCGGTGACATTCAGGCTCTTTTGGGAGTTTTGTCACGTGGGTATTTATGATGTTTGGCCACTTAATAAACAGAGAACAAAGAGGCCGTGTGGCAGCCAGACACTCCTAAAAAAAAAGAAATAATAAAAAGGCAGCACAAGCTGTGCTCTGTCTCGGTTTTTCCATGAGACCATTGCTCATTATTACCTTTTCCGTCCGGCTCCAGCACTAAAGACCTGAAACCACACAGTTATTCAGCTTTGGCCTGAGTGGAAACTATTGCACACAGAAGTGGTAAAAGGTCAAATATATTAGATTTATCTAATCCACAAATGTGGGTGTATCCAAGATGTGCATATAAATAAAACATTTAGACACTTTTGCATCAGGAACATTGTCATTTATCTCTGTTTTAAGGGCTGAGTCACTGGATATACGTCGTTTAGTCATCAGTATTCATTCAGGAGTTCAATCTGACAGCTTCCAGTTGTACATTTCTTTTCTAATATTTTATAAAATTATTATTTATTTATTTATTTATTTATTTATTTATTTATTTATGTATTTATTTATTTATTTATTTATTTATTTATTTATTTATTCATTTATTTATTTATTTATTTATTTATTATAATATTATTATTATTTATGGAACGCATTTGTTCAGAATGGCGTTTTGCACGTAAAATCACTGTAAACTGGGTTCTGTCACCAATGTATTTGTCCTTGTATATTTTGATAGTTTGATCTGTTTTTATTTCTGTAAAGCACTTTGGTCAACTCCGGTTGTTGTAAAGTGCTATAAAATAGACATTGATTGATTGATTGATTGATTGATTGATTGGTTTATTGATTGATTTATTGATCAAGAAAGACTTCGACTTTATTTTAGTTGTCTTAATTTCCCTCTCTTACTCTACTTTTATCCCTCTCTTATTTCATTTTAATCTTTGAGTTTGTCTTGTTTGGAGGTGATAATTGTGTTTTATGATTCGCTCAAATGGCCTGTACAGCGTTTTGATTTTAGCTTTTTCTGACTGAAAGCGCTTTATAAATAAAGTTGAGTTGAGTTGAGTTGAAATTGATTGATCGATTGATTTTAATGTGTGCTTTTGATTTCTGAGGTTAGTCCCTATTTTTCTCCAAACCAATCGTTGGTATTCGGGGACTGGACAGCTGGAGCTGTGTGTCAGTTGGTTGTCCTTGTGTCCCGACAAATAAACGAATCTCTGAATAGCGTAATTGTTCCTTTAAGGGCCTTCTCTCCTCCTCTCTGTGATGAGTTTCCTGATGGCACTGAGAGACAGCACAGAACGGCTTATACCTAAGCAGCTTGGCCCACGCCGGCTGTAATTACCTCGTTTGTAATATCCTGCTTGTAAACGCCGGCCAAACCAATGAGGACAATAGGTGCTTTGTGTGGGTTTAGCAGGTAACGGTGTTCCTAAAAAATTAAATATATGTAAAATGCTGGTGTGAATTCTATTTTCTCAGGTGAAATAGATTAAAAAAAAGACATTTAGACTGAGTTTGTGTCTGGAATGAGACTGAATATTAGGCTTACGTCAACTTAAAGCTACAGGAACAATGTGATGATGGAATGGATTTTGATATATATCAAACAAGTCTATATCTGAGGAGTTTACACATAAATACAAAAGAACCTCCTCAGAACTGAGTTGCATGCTGCCCTCTTCACTATTCCTGGTAAAAAAAAAAAACCAAACAAACTTGGATTTTTAGTATTCTGATGATGTTGTGTTGGTGATCAGTTTGAAAAGGGGAGCTTATCCAAAGCTTCCTGTCATCCACCATTTCTGGGTGTTACCGGCCACCAGCGTGGGATTCAATATTTATATATATATCAGTATATCACTATATCTATAGAAGTTGCATGTTTAACCTGGATAATTGGGTTTACAATCATAAATCCTTAGGAAATAAATACTATATCCCCCTTAAACTCAGTTTAGGCTACAAATTAGCTGACATTAGTCAGCAGCCTTTAACATAACTTTTATCTATCTATCTATCTATCTATCTATCTATCTATCTATCTATCTAT